CCCCCCTGCATGTAGTTTTTCGCTTTAAAAGCAGCTTGTAACAGCCTCTCGGGGTTCCTTCCCCCTTGTGGCTGAGGAACCCTGGCGCGCCAGCAATAAACCTGCCTCTTGCTTTTTGCATCGATTTGTGATTGTGAGTGGTCTTTGGGTAGGCGACCCCCGGGGTGGGCACAACAATGCCATGGCACTCTACCTAGGGGGACAGCTTGAGGCTCCGTCTCAAAAAAAAAAATAAATAAATAAAAAAAAATAAAACTAGAACTTTGAGATATTAACTCTTGACTTCAGACTCAAATTACTTTCAAGTGTATCTTTTGGTAAAAGCACAAAAGAAGAAATACGAAAGTTCATATAACAAAACAGTTTGATAAATCATCAAATAGAGAATCCACAGCCCAAGATTTGCCATGGACCCAACCATTTTTGATCACTAGCTCTATGATGTTTTTTTATCCTGAAAGTGAAAACAATATAGGTAGGGCAGGCAGAATAATGGTCCCCATCACATCCACATCCTAATCTCCAGAACCATTTAATGGTTTTACATATGTGGTTAAGGATTCTAAGATGAGGAGATTAACCTGCATTACGTGGGTAGGCCCCATGTAATCACAAGGGGCCTCACAAAAGGGAACCAGACGACGACATTAATACAGAAGAGGAGAAGGCAACGTGATGTGGAGGCAGAGATCTGAGTGGTGTGCTCTGAAGACAGAAGGAAGGGCCACAAGGTGAGGAATACAAGTGGTCACTAGAGGCTGAAAAAGGCAAGGAAAAGATTCTCTTCTCAGAGTCTCACCAGCCCCCTGACACCTCGGCCTGAGCCCAGGGAGACTCATTTTGGATTTCTGACATCCAGAACTATAAAGAGAATACATGTTGCTGTCCTGAGTCACTAAGTTAAGAAGTAATTTGTTACAGTGGCATCATGACACTATCTAACAGCCTTAGAAGAAAATGTAATGGTAAGCTCATTAAAGCCAGATACTGTCATATTATTTTATAAATTTGTTTTTTTATAATTTCAACTTTGACACAGTAATTCTTGCACTTCTAGGTTTTCATCTAAGAATATCAGACACATCAATGCAAAATGTCCAAAGAATACTTACCTACTTAATTTCTTTAGAGTGTGTTGGAGGATGTTAAATAAACTTGAAATCCTATTAAACAGAAGAAATTCATATTAAATTAAAGCACAAAAAACTTAATGCTTGACGATCATAGTTCCTCTGGAAGAAAACTGCCCTCAAAAGAACACAGAAGATGAGATAATGTAAAACAAAGAATAATGAAATTCACTTCTATGTGGATTAAATTATAATATTTACTTAATATTTGCCATTTCCTGATTTTCCTTCATTAGCATGAAGTATTTGGCTTTGTGTGAGTCAGAGCAGTTGTAAAGAGATGGCTATTGTATATTCAAATCATATGCTTTTGAAAATGTTCATGGGTCTGTATTAGTACTACTCTACAGAAGAGCTTGCCTTTACAGATGGTGATGACTTAGATCCTAAAACACTGACAAGTAATTACAAGTATGATGACAGAAAAGCCACTGATTGGGGACAGGATAGCAAAATGTATAAGATGTTATTCTAAATATTTATTATCTCTTCTAACCTAAATTCATTCCCTTATTTCTTTCTTTTTTTTTTTT